ATGGGTCCTGAAGAGGGGGGGGAGAGAAGAGATGGACATGTTCCGACTGCAGTGACCCCAACACAGTGGACAAGTAAGGACAAGTAAGTAAGTCGACTTTGATATGTTTAACGACGGAAATTTTGCGAATTTTGAGGCGCATGTCTGTTAACGCGACCTTTTACGGTCAGAAACCGAATGACAGACCTCATTTCTACCCTTGGCCAATTTTCCAAGGGGGTATAGCCATCTTTGAAGAACTGCTGTGTTCGTTTGGTTTGTGCGATGCTCATGGTGCTTAATCGAGAAATTCCTAAATGGTTGTTTTACAAGTGTGCGTTTACAGAATGTGAAAATATTAAATAGTTTTCAAATTACAGTCAAATTCAAGCCCTCGTACAATTCACTTAGAGGAAGCCCGGCTGTCTACAGACGAAATATCCGGCCGGTAACAGGTGACAATAGCGCGTCAGGGATCTTTGAGCGCCCAGCGCGTAGCTTCAATATCGACGTACACGGTAACCAGCAACCGGGCGCGTAGCCTCAGTGTCTACGTACACGGTAACCGTTTGTTTTGTGGGCGGGCGCTTGAGCTAGGTGCACGGTAACTGCTTCGCTCACTTCGTGACCTTGACCCTTTTCCTGTTTCACTCCGCTTTTTATGTCCCAAAACCACGAAAATTATCCCAATCTACTCCCCGTCATCTTTCCTAGTTTAGTTTAGTTTTAGCAGAGGTTTTACGGCACTCGCAACTGCATAAGGTCATATGAGCGCCAGAGAATTAGAGGTGTTACAAGAGAGTAACAAACATAAAAAAGAAGAAGGTGAGATAAGGATGATAGATGTTTGATAGGAAAGAAGGAGCAAACCACACCAGGGCACCCACCCGCCAACCACGCACGTCATCTTTCCTTAGGGAGGGCAAAATTCAGTGACACTGAAAATCTGCGAATCTGGAACAGAAAGCTAAAATATAGATATTCACAATACATGTAATACTATCACGAGAGAACGAGACTCAGAAAACACGCGAGAGGGGGTGGGGGGTGGGGGAGTGAGAGAGAGAGAGAGAG